TTGTCATGCTTTGAACTTGAAACTTGCAGTAAATTCCTTTGTGGCTCTTGTCTGGGCAGGAATCACTATCTAGGGAATAAATCAACTGCATGTAGGAGGGTAATTTAAATTTTTTTTTTTTTTTTTTTTTGAGACAGTCTCACTCTGTCGCCCAGGCTGGAGTGCAGTGGCACGATCTCGGCTCACTGAAACCTCCACCTCCTGGGTTCAAGCTATTCTCCTGCCTCAGCCTCCCAAGTAGCTTGGATCATAGGCACCCACCACCACACACAGCAAATTATGGTATTTTTAGTAGAGACGGGGTTTCACCATGTTGGCCAGGCTGCTCTTGAACTCCCGACCTCAAGTGATCCACCCACCTTGGCCTCCCAAAGTGACCAAAGTGATAGGATTACAGGCATGAGCCACCGTGCCTGGCCTATTTTAATTATTTTAGAGATGAGGCCTCACTCTGTCTCCCAGGCTGGAGTGCAGTGGTACGATCATGGCTCACTGAAGCTTCCACTCCCTGGGCTCAAGCAATCCTCCTGCCTCAGCCTCCCGAGTAGCTGGGACTACAGGAGCGAGCCACCATGTCTGGCTAATTTTTGTATTTTTTGTAGAGACAGGGTCTCCCTGTGTTACCCAGGCTGGTCTCAAACTCCTGGCCTCAAGCGATCCTCCTGTCTCAGCCTCCCAAAGTGCTGGGATTACAGGCGTGAGCCATGGCGCCCAGCCTCATGTGAGGTTTAAGTCTGTGTTGCTGGGCCCAGCTGGAAGTCAGTAGCGGCTCTTTGCCTTCATGGGGGTTTGCTGGGGAACTTGGAGGGCAGTGAGGCCCAGGCTGTGCCCGTAGGGAGCTCCCAAACAGCTTGCCTTTGACTGGCCTGTGAGGGTATGGACTGAGGAAGCACCTGTTAACCAGGTTTCAAAAACTCCATTGTACATACGTCGGCTCCCCTGGGAGGAGTCTTAGGACATGGAGAATGTCAGTGCTGGGAAGGACCTTAGCTATTTCTGACCTAGTCCTTTGTTATGTCATGAGGAAACTGAGGCACCCATCTGGGAAGGCACAGACTTGGCTCACCCCGGCCAAGCCAGTGTGTTACGGATGACTCCCTGGAGAGACAGGGAATTTCCCATGGTTTCCCAACTGCAGGAAACTGAAAATGTCTCAGCATGCATGGAATTTGATGAGGGTTTTGTCCCTGTGATGCGGGGGCAGCTGAGGGTCCCACTACTGAGAGGAAGAATGAAGCGAAGTACCACGTGCAGTTGCCATGGGCTCGTGGCTTGGATTTTTGCAGCTGTTGAAACAGCTGGACCCTGGGCCTGTGACCCCTGGGAGGGGAGGTAGTCGGGGAGAGATTACCTGAGGGTCCGCCTGGGCCGGGACAGCTGGGGACAAGGACAGCTGACCAGGCAGCTTCTCACCAAGAATAGCCATGCTGGGTCACCTTCGACCTGGGGACCCTTCTCTGGGCTCTAAGCATGGAGGGCGGGTAGAAACAGATCTTAGCTGGGCTACAGCGGTTCTGTTCAGTTAGCAGAGGTCACAGAGCTCTCTCTCTGCATAGGAAAGTGCCCTAGAAATGGATATGGGGTAGGAGCTGGCGCCTGCCAGGCACCCACTGTGCGTGGGGTCAAGACAAAGGGTTCTGGCCTGGCGCGGTAGCTCACGCCTATAATCCCAGCACTGTGGGAGGCCAAGGCAGGAGGATCCCTTGAGGCCAGGAGTTTGAGACCAGCCTGGCCAACATGGCAAAACCCCATCTCCAATACAAAAAAAAAAAAAAAAAAAAAGCCTGGCGTGCTGGCACACACCTATAATCCTGGCTACACAGGAGGCTGAGGCATGAGGATTTCTTGAACGTGGGAGGCGAAGGTTGCGATGAGCAGAGATTGCGCCATTGCACTCCAACCTGGGGACTCTAGCCTGGGCAACAGAGTGAGACTCTGTCTCAAAAAAACAAAAGAGGGAGGGTTCTGAAGCCAGACCAGCTGGGTGTCCTACTCGGCCTGAATGACCTTACCCTGTTTCCAAATCTGCAAGGTAAAAATATGATGTGTTCTTATAATGAATAGCCCGGCATGGTGGTGTACGCCTGTAATCTCAGCTACTTGAGAGTCTGAGGCAGGAGAATCACTTGAACTCGGGGGGGCGGAGGTTGGAGTGAGCTGAGATTGCGCCAGTGTACTCCAGCCTGGGCAACAGAGCGAGACTCCGTCTCAAAAAAAATAAAAAAGTGCCCTGTCCATTGAGGAACATACAGTTGGCACTTCATAAATGTAGCTGCTATTTTAATTATTTTATTTTGTTATATATTATATTTGTTTTTTATAGAGACAGGGTCTTGCTATGTTGCCCACACTGGTCTTGACCTCCTGGGCTCAAGTCATCCTCCTGTCTCAGCTTCCCAAGTAGCTGGAATTAGAGGCTGTACCACTGCACCCAGCTTATTTTATTTATTTATTTATTTTTAGGAGATGGCAGTCTTGCTATGTTGCCCAGGCTGGTCTTGAACTCCTGGGCTCAAGTGATCCACCTGCCTCGACCTCCCAACGTGCTGGGATTACAGCTGTAAGCCACTGTGCCTGGATTATTTTATTTTCTTTCTCTTTTCTTTTCTTTTCTTGAGATAGGGTCTTGCTCTGTCACCCAGGCTGGAGTGCAGTGGTGCCATCTCTGCTCACTGTAACCTCTGCCTCCTGGGTTCAAGCCATTCTCCTGCCTCAGCCTCCCAAGTAGCTGGGACTACAGGCATATGCCACCACTCCCTGCTAATTTTTGTATTTTCAATAGAGATGGGGTTTCCCCATGTTGGCCAGGCTGGTCTCAAACTCCTGACCTCAAGTGATCTGCCCACCTCGGCCTCCCAAAGTGCTGGGATTATAGGCATGAGCCACTGTGCTTGGCATGAGACTGGGTAATTTATAAAGAAAAAGAAGTTTAATGGACTCACAGTTCCATATGGCTGGGGAGGCCTCACAATAGTAGCAGAAGGCAAAAGGCACGTCTTACATGGCAGCAGACAAGACAATGAGAGCCAAGTAGAAGGGGAAACCTCTTATAAAATCACCAGATCTTGTGAGACTTATTCACTACCACGACAACAGTATGGGGAAAACCACCCCCATGATTCATTCAGCTCCCACTGTGTACCTCCCAAAACATGTGGGAATTATAGGAACTTCAATTCAAGATGAGATTTGGGTGGGGACACAGCCAAACCAAATCAGCTCTGCTGCCTATTGTCTGGGAGCTCACATGAAGCACCTGATATCTCTGAACCTCAGTTTTCTCATCTGTGAAATGGGGGCAGTTGAGGATCAGATGAGCTATCGTATCTTAAGCTCCTAGCACAGAGCCTCATGCAAGCCTGTGATTACTATGGTTGTTTTTTTGTTTGTTTTGTTTTGTTTGTTTGTGTTTTTGAGATGGAGTCTCGCTTTGTCACCCAGGCTGGAGTCAGTGGTGCTGTCTCAGCTCACTGCAACCTCTGCCTCCTGGTTTCAGGCAATTCTCCTGTCTCAGCCTCCTGAGTAGCCGGGATTATAGGCACCCACCACTACGTTCCGCTAATTTTTTTGTATTTTCAGTAGAGACGGGGTTTCACCATGTTGGCCAGGCTGGTCTTGAGCTCCTGACTTCAGGTGATACGCCTGCCTCAGCCTCCCAAAATGCTGGGATTACAGGCGTGAGCCACTGAAACCTAGCTACCTTTCCACCTTCCTGGGTCTGTGGACCCTGAGGCCTTAGGCTGGGCTGCAGCTTGGGGAGGGGAGAGAGGGGGGCGCCCAGAAGAGAGTTAGGAGGGTTTTCTTTTCTGTCCCAAGAGAGACAGAAGGGGACATCTTTATGCAAGAAGTCTGTGGCTGTGTCCCTCTATTAGGAAATAGGCTGGGAGCCTTTTGTGTGCCCTGTAACTGTCTGAGGGCGAGGATGGGGGTCTCAGGGACCACTTGTACAACACCTGAGTCACACATAGGGGCCACAGGGAGTCTCAGGTCAACAGCTGAGGGCCTGAGCCCACCCGGTGGGGAGGTGGCTTATAGTCCTTGAGAATGGGTTCATCCCTGGCCCGGGACTTACAGTTTCCTTGAGAAGTGGAAAGCCATTGCTTCTGTGTTTGTTTTGCTTTTGTTTTTTTGTTTTTGTTTTTGTTTTTGAGATGAAGTCTTTCTCTTTCCCCCAGGCTGGAGTGCAGTGGTATGATTTCAGCTCACTGCAACCTCCACCTCCCGGGTTCAAGTGATCCTCCCACCTCAACCTCCTGAGTAGGTGGGATTACAGGCGCCCGCCACCACCATACCCGGCTAATTATTTTATTTTTAGTAGAGACGGGGTTTCACCATATTGGTCAGGCTGGTCTGGAACTCCTGATCTCAGGTGATCTGCCTGCCTCGGCCTCCCAAAGTGCTGGGATTTCAGGCGTGAGCCACCGCGCCCAGCCTGGAAACATTGCTTCTGAGGTCATACTTTCCTGGGGACGGACGCTCTGGAGGGCTGGAAGAGTAGGGGGAGACCTGAGGAGGACCAGCCCAAGACCATACAGCCAACCATTCCTGCCTCGGTTTCCATGGCAAGACCTCATCTCTACAAAAAATACAAAAATTAGCCCAGTGTAGTGGCAGGTGTCTGTGATTTCAGCTACTCAGGAGGCTGAGGTGGCAGCATTGCTGGAGCCCAGGAAGTCAAGGCTGCAGTGAGCCATGATCTCGCCAATGTACTCTAGTCTAGGTGACAGAGCAAGACCCTGTCTCAAAAAACAAATAAATAAGGGTTAGGTGTGGTGCCTCACGCCTATAATCCCAACACTTTGGGAGGCCAAGGCAGGCGGATTACTTGAGGTCAGGAGTTTGAGACCAGCCTGGCCAACATGGTGAAACTCCCTCTCTACCCAAAAATACAAATCAGCCACCTCCCAACCCTAGACTCTGTGCACCTGGGGCCACCCAGGGGCCAGTTCCTCGCCAGCCCTAACATCCACCTCTTTCCCTCTCCCTCTCCTTCTCTGCAGGCTCCCCCCTGCACAAGCAGTCATCCGGACCCTCCTCCTCCCCGGCCGCAGCTGCTGCCCCCGAGAAGCCGGGCCCCAAGGCGGCGGAAGTGGGGGATGACTTCCTGGGGGACTTTGTGGTGGGCGAGCGGGTGTGGGTGAATGGCGTGAAGCCAGGCGTGGTGCAGTACCTGGGCGAGACGCAGTTCGCACCGGGCCAGTGGGCTGGTGTGGTGCTGGACGACCCGGTGGGCAAGAACGATGGCGCGGTGGGCGGCGTGCGCTACTTCGAGTGCCCGGCCCTCCAGGGTATCTTCACGCGGCCCTCCAAGCTGACCCGGCAGCCCACGGCCGAGGGCTCGGGGAGTGATGCCCACTCCGTGGAGTCACTGACTGCCCAGAACCTGTCATTGCATTCGGGCACAGCCACACCCCCGCTGACAAGCCGCGTCATCCCCCTGCGGGAGAGCGTCCTCAACAGCTCCGTGAAGACGGGCAACGAGTCGGGCTCCAACCTCTCGGACAGCGGCTCTGTGAAGCGGGGCGACAAGGACCTGCGCCTGGGAGACCGTGTGCTGGTGAGTGCGGGCAGTACTGGGCTCTGGGCCCAGCCTCCCTTCCCTCCCCCGCTCCGCCTCACTTGGCCGAGCTGGACCCCCCGGGCTGGGCAGGGTGGGGACTCAAAAGGGGTCTTGGACGGGGTCCAGCCTGGGACACCCATTCCTCATCAGGACCATACAGAGTGACAAGACAGGAGACTATTGCTGTGTGACCCTGGGCAAGTGTCTTAAACTTTCTGGGCCTCACTCTTTCTATCCGTGAAATGGGATTTTTTTTTTTTTTTTTTTTTTTTTTTTTTTTTTGAGATAGAGTTTTGCTCTTGTCACCCAGGCTGGAGTGCAGTGGCATGATCTCAGCTCGCTGCAACCTCCACCTCCCGGGTTCAAGCGATTCTCCTGCCTCAGCCTCTCAAGTAGCTGGGATTACAGGCATGGGCCACCATGCCCAGCTAATTTTTGTATTTTAATAGAGACGGGGTTTCACTATGTTGAGCAGGCTGGTCTCGAACTCCCGACCTCAGGTGATCCACCTGCCTTGGCCTACCAAAGTGCTGGGATTACAGGTGTGAGCCACCGTGCCCCACCAAAATGGGAATTTTAATCGTACTTCAGTCATAGTTGGAGATGCATTAAAATGTATCACTCATTTTAGACAGTGCCTAATACTACATACCACATACATTTTGGCCATTATTGATATTATCTACTGATCCAACTCATCCACATGCATGTGCCAGGCATGTACTGGAAAAGGCTGGGAACTGGATGTTCTCCAGACCCCTGGTCCTGGCCAGGCACAGTGATTCATGCTTGTAATCCCAGCACTTTGGGAGGCTGAGGTGGGAGGATCACTTGAGCCCAGGAGTTCAAGACCAGCCTGGGCAACATAGTGAGACCCCCGTCTCTACAAAAAAATACAAAAAAAATTAGCCAGGCATGGTGGCATGGCCCTGTACTCCCAGCTACTCAGGAGGCTGTGGTGGGAGGATGGCTTGATCCTGGGAGTTAGAGGTTGCAGTGAGCCAAGGTAGTGCCACTGCACTCTAGCCCGGGTGACAGAGCCAGACCCTGTTTCAACAACAATAATAATAATAAGGCCGGGCATGGTGGCTCACACCTGTAATCCCAGCATTTTGGGAGGCCAAGGCGGGCAGATCACCTGAGGTCAGGATTTTGAGACCACCCTGGCCAACATGGCGAAACACCATCTCTACTAAAAATACAAACATTAGCCAGCTGTGATGGCATGTGCCTGTAGTCCCAGCTACTTGGGAAGCTGAGGCAGGAGAATCACTTGAACCCAGGAGGGAGAGATTGCAGTGAGCTGAGATCACACCACTGCACTCCAGCCTGGGTGACAGAATGAGACTCTGTCTCAAAAAAACAACAACAATAATAATGATAATAACCCCTTGCCCAGGGCCAGGAGGTGCAGACACCTTATCAGCTACAACCCGAGTGATCAGTGTTGTTGAAGTTGAGAGAATTGGGTCGCTGGAGCTGACAGCTTCCTGCCAGGGTCGCCTCTTCTCCACTAGTCACAGCTGTTAGGGCCAGGTTGGAAAGGGGTCGGTGACCCCCAAGTCTTCTAGAGTGTGAATACAGCAGTGACCTGGGTTGGTGGTGGTCAGGTGGATGGGACAGGGCTGTGTTTTCCTATCCAACCAGGCTGTGGTGGCCTTGGGCTAACCTTACGCCTGGGACCACAGCTTTGGGAAGAGACTCACAGGGTACAGGGAAGTCCCTGATGGGGACTTCTGGGCCTGGGGTTTAAGGAGCTGTCGGTGGGGCAGGGGTCCCTGTGTCCATTCTGCAAGGCTTCCTGGGGGAAGATGGGAAGTCATTCCAAGCCAAGGTGGGGAGCACAGGCTTGGAGCTCCAAAGCCGAGTGGAGAAGGGCAGGGGGTCTGGGGACCCAGAGCAGGGACCCCCAAAGAGTATTACTGCCTAGGGTCCTCCCTCCCTGCTCTGAGAACCTGGCAAAGGTTTCTCCTGGAGGTTTCTGGAAAGAGCCTTTGGGGTTGTGGGCAGGGGAATGAGAGGAGATGTTTACACCCGTGGCCTTGTTGAATCCTCAAGCCAGTGCTGTGATGTGGTTTTATCATCCTCACTTTATGGATGGGGAAACTGAGGCTCAGGGAGGTTTTTTTTTTTTTTTTTGGTTTTGTTTTTTTTTTGTTTTGTTTTCTAGTCTTGCTCTGTTGCCAGGCTGGAGCGCAGTGGCGCGATCTTGGCTCACTGCAACCTCTGCCTCCCAGGTTCAAGCAATCCTCCTGCCTCAGCCTTCCGAATAGCTAGGACTACAGGCACATGCCACCATGCCCAGCTAATTGTTCATATTTTTAGTAGAGGTGGGGTTTCACCATGTTGGCCAGGATGGTCTTGATCTCTTGACCTGCCCGTCTCGGCCTCCCAAAGTGGTGGGATTACAGGAGTGAGCCACGGCGCCCAGCCTCAGGAAAGTTTAATAACTTGTCTGAAGTGACAAGTGACAAGTGCCTGCCCACTGAGCTGTGTCTCTCTCTGCCCTGGCCAGGGTGAGGGCTCTGCCTTTTTTTTTTTTTTTTTTAAACAGGGTCTTGTTCTGTTGCCCAGGATGGGGTGCAGTGGTGCAGTCATAGCTCACGGCAGCCTCAAACTTGGTCTCAAGCAATCCTCCTGCCTCAGCCTCCCAAGAAGCTGGGACTACAGGCCCGTGCCACCACACCTGGCACCACGCCTTTGCTAGCCTGGTTCCCCTGGACAGAACTTCCCCTGGGTGACCTGGTGGTGAGCGTGGCCAGATGTGGTCCCTGCCCTCCAGCCATCTCCAGCTTACAGGAGACAGACCACAAGGCCAGTGACCACAGATATTAGTGTCTCCTTATAGAGTCTGCCAAGTGTGCCATGGTGCTCTCAGAGCCTGGCCTGGTGGGGACGCTGCCCCGAGGAATGGTGTGAGGGCAGAACTTAGGGAATGGCCTGGCATTGGCCTAGTGATGTGGGGCCAGCACATCGTGCCAGGCAGAGGCCCGTGGGCCGAGAGACTAGAGAAACTGTGAGAAGAGGCCCGGCGCGGTGGTTCACACCTGTAATCCCAGCACTTTGGGAGGCCGAGGCAGGTAGATCACCTGAGGTCAGGAGTTTGAGACCATCCTCACCAGTACGGTGAAACCCCCTCTCTACTAAAAATACAAAAATTAGCCGGGTGTGGTGGAGGGTGCCTGCAGCCTGAGCTACTCGAGAGGCTGAGGCAGGAGAATCACTTGAACCTGGGAGGTGGAGATTGCAGCGAGCCGAGATAGTGCCATTGCACTCCAGCCTGGGTGACAGAGCGAGACTAGAAAAAAAAAAAAACTGAAAAGAGCAGGGAGGCTGAGTGGTCAGTGGGGGAAGCTAGGGAAAGATCACACCCCAGAGTCTGACCTGGGTGACCCCACAGGGCCAGGAGTCTGGGACGGAGCTGGGTCTTTGCTATAAGAGTCGAGGTAGCCGTGGAAGCTGCAGCCATGTGACGGATTCCTGGGTTAAGGACATCGCACCTGCTGCTTGGTGGGGATGGGATCGGAGCGGGCAAGAGTGGAGCAGGGCCCAGGCGTGGTGGCTCACACCTGTAATCCCAGCACTTTGGGAGGCCAAGGTAGGCAGATCACCTGAGGTCAGGAGTTTGAGACCAGCCTGGGCAACATGGGGAAACCCCATCTCTACTAAAAAATACATGGTGACGGGTACCTGTAATCCTAGCTACTCAGGAGGTTGAGGCAGGAGAATCACTTGAACTTGGGAGGTGGAGGTTGCAGTAAGCCGAGAGGGTGCAACTGCACTCCAGCCTGGGCAACACAGCAAGACTCCATCTCAAAAAAAAAAAAAAAAGGCTAGACTGGAGCAGGAACGGCAGTGCCCAGGAAGGAGGCTGGACTCCTGGGCCCCGCACCGTCCTGTCCAAAGAACTTGTTTTGGGACTGTCACTCTGCTCTTCCTCTTGTGGTTCCCAGGAAAGCCAAACCCAGCCAACAGGACCCGGGCAAACGGCTTAGTCTCCCTGACCTGTCCTTCAGGATCTCCGGGGTCTGAGGGCAACTGCTGAGGGTGGGCACAGCAGGGAAATCAGGCCTGCGTCTGTGGTATTGGACAAGTCACTTATAGAGCCTCATCCTCATTCATTCATTCATTCACTTGCCATGTGTCCGTTCAGCAAAATGGCCATGGCCCAGCACTCTTGTTTTGTTCTATGCTATTTTGGGGAGCGTTAAGAGAGCTGATGGCAGCCGGGCACGGTGGCTCACGCCTGTAATCTCAGCACTTTGGGAGGCCAAGACAGGCAGATCAGTCAAGGTCAGGAGTTGGAAACCAGCCTGGGCAATGTAGCAAGACCCTGTCTCTACTAAAAATACAAAAAAAAAAAAAAAAAAAAAAAAAAAGCCAGGCATGGCAGTGCATGCGTATGCTCCCAGCTACTAAGGAGGCTGAGATGGGAGGATCACTTGAGCTCAGGGAGTCAAGCCTGCAGTGAGCCATGATCAGACCACTGCACTCCAGCCAGGGCAACAGAGTGAGATGCTGTCTCAAAAAAAAAAAAGGAGAGAGAGAACTGGCGGATGTGAGAATGCGTCATAGTCTGCAAGGAGCTATGGCTGTGCACAGTCTGACTAATATCGTGGGAGTGCCCTGGGCATGGGCCTGTGACCCTGCTGGGGCGGGAAGTGGAGGCTCTGGGGGTTACCGACCAGCCCAGATTGCTCGCTGGATTGGGGAGCAGCAGGTTTGACGCCAGTTTGATCCTGCCTGGCATTCCCCCTGTACCTGCTCTCCCTGCAGGGTGTGGGAGTTTCTGACCATCTCAGGGTGTGGTGTACTTATCCTCCCAAGTAGCTAGGATTACAAGCATGCACCACCTACCTGGCTAATTTTTGTATTTTTTAGTGAGACAGAGTTTCTTCATGTTGCCAGGATGGTCTTGAACTCCTGGCCTCAAGTGATCCACCCACCTCAGCCTCCCAAAGCGCTGGTATTACAGTGAGTCCAGCAGTAAAATGAAA